ATCTCAGGGCCAGATTTTCAGACAGAGTAAGTGCCCAATAGCTCATACACATTTAGTGGCTTACACTTGCATGCTAAATTAGACTTGCATGCTAAATTACCTGATTTGAGCATGCAGTCATGGTAACTGTGTATGCAAAATAGGTGTGTGATTGCAGAACTTGCACGATTGCAAATGTGCACTGTGCTTTACATCCAAGAGAAAATCAAGTTCCATAAAGCTCCTGTGAAATATATTTGTCCTGAGACTACTTTGCTTATTGTGGTCTGCAGAAATACAGATACACAGACTATCACTGAGGCTAGCTGCTAGCCTCCTCCTGCTTTATCACAAGGAATGCAGTGCTCCTGAAAGGTGCTACATTGGCAGCCCCGAAGACTGAAGGCCTCTCTGTCTGCACAGAACAATGTTGCATAGGAAATTGTGTGGAGAGTTTTTGCCTACTCCATCCTGCTAATGTGCTTCAATCCTGACCGTGTGCGACCACCTCTAGGAGTAAGAGGGAAGTTCAGACTCCTTGGGCTCTCCATTGAAATTGCCAGTAAGTGTCAGTTGTGATGGGGGATTTTATGATGCTGACATCTGACCAAGTAGGAACTGGACTGAGCCCAGCATTTCTTTTTCCATGAGCCACCAACCAGCTGTCACAGAGTAACCTTCAGTTAATCCTGACAGACTAGTTTTGAAACCGTGACCTAGTGGTGAAAGGCACTGTATGCCCTGAATGACTCAGTCCTATAGAATAATAAACTGCGTAATGCCACCCTGTTCCATGAGTGGGCCCACTCAGACTGTAACCTTCAGTGCATCGTTTATTGTCAAAGACATACACATACATCTTCAGAATTCCAGCGTTCAGCAAGCTGCCCGTTTTACACCGTGAGGGAGGAGAAGGCTATGTCTGGGTAGCACTGGAGGTGATTTCCAGCAATGCCACCACATGTGAATGGACTTGAGAGCATTGATCTAGGCCTGGTATGGTCCCCACCACTAGGTTTGTGGGCACATATGTACTACTTGCCATCTCTTATCAGATTGCTCTTGCTGAATTTCTTTCAAACTCGGAAGCAGCCCAATTTTCAGGTCAGTATTTATAAAGCTATGGGGAAAATGTTGCAGTACTTGCTCATGCAAAACTGCCATTGACTTCAGTGGGAATTTTGCCTGAGTAAGACCTGAGCGGGTATCTCAGGATTTGGACTTATCTGTTTTAGTTTTAAAGTAGCCAGTACTATATTTTCCAATATCTCTCTTATTTTTTCCCCTATCCACGCAATTTTTCTTTTATTCCTGCTCCTTGTTCCTCTCCTTTTCCCCTCATTTCCCATCCCTTCATTTTTTCTTTCCTTCCCTTCTTTTCTAACCAACCTTCAGCATTTCTATCCTAGGGAGGTTCCCAAACTAAAACTATTTACCCAGTCGCATCCAACCCATGATCCAAAGGAGGCTCTGATTCCATGGCACACCTGGTTTGAATTTGGTTTTGCAAAACCAAATCCACCAAGCCTCTTTTCCCACTCTCTGCCTTCAATATATTGTCCCCTTGCCCAGTTTCCCTTTGTCTCTTCTCTCCCTACCTTTGCTAACAATAGCAGATGCTCTGCAGGCCAGTGTAGTTTGCAGTTCCTAGTAATAAGTTCCTAACTGAGTTAAGAGATGAAAGCACATTGTGTGTTTTTGATTTACAGGCTGTTCAGTGACATTGGATCTAGGGGACCCTGTAAACAAAGAAAGGCCTGTGGCTTTATAGAGCATGGAAAGTTTTCGCTTCTTGTAATGGAGAGGTCAGTCTGGAAGAAATTCAACTTCAAGGTCTTTTTCCTTCTTTGGGGCTTGTCTGAAACATATGGGCCACTCAGCTTGGCCAAATAGTGGTGCCCCCAAAAAATTCCTGATCAGTGTACAGGACAGCTTCAGCTGTGTGCCTATGTTTCTGCATCTTGACAGGCAAAGCAAAAAGAGGTGGGGCCGTGATGTCAATGCTCTAGTATTTCCTCATCTGGAAGAGTCAGCAGCCTGGAGATTTCAATTAATGAGAAACGCAGCTGTGACTGGCAAGCAGTCAGTCATCCCAGTGTTAGTGTGCATCCATGTGCCTCTCTCTAGGAAACTTCCAGCCTAGGAAAAACTTACCCAACGTTTCAGATTTAGATCAGATGGACCTGAGACAACACCCCTTCCACAACCCACAGCTGAGTTTTGGAGAGGTTCAGATCTGGACCTTAACTTTGCAGCTAACGCCCATTTTCAACCAATGAAAGTCTAAACCCTCTTACCTTTAAATTTGTTCCTCCCGTTTTTTCCTGTTATACTGGTGACTGGTATTTAAGCCAGGGGATCATTCCTTTCTACCCCAGCCCAGCACCATTTTTCTTCCTACTAAACACAGAAGCCATAATGGGGATATGCCAGCCCTTTGTGTTTCATTGGTTTGCAATGGATACCCAGGTCCTTTTATCTTCTATAACTGGCAGGGATGCTGTGACCTCACCTCCCATGATGGCTATCCCTATTTCCATCACTTCAAGGCTATATTCCTGCTATTCCTTCAAAGTGGGAGATATCCCTAAACACTGCTCAGAAGTTCAGCTACTTCTGTTCCGCTGTAGAGCCTGATGGGGGATTTGTTGCTGGATAGGGGTGTGCAGTTCACTTTGATCTCCTCCAGTCAGGTGTTCCACAACTAAGGTCCTGCCATTGCCTTTTGCACCTGAACTTTGCTGTGCTACACCATTGGTCCTCTAGTCATTGGTATTGACAATGTTCATTTTTGTACTTGTGATGGGTGAAAAATAAAGTTTGACCGTAACTGCATGGGAAGATCTAACAGAAGAAAGAAGCCAGAGTGGGAAAGAATAAGCTTCTGCATCAGTGCAAACATCTTCTGTAATTGCAATAGGAGAAATGCCACTGACGTTATTTTGCCATGAACAATCTCCTTTTCTTCTCCCCAGCTTTGCACACCTTCCTTTGAATCAGGCCACGAGGAAGGAATGGAGCCAGATCAGAATTTACTGCATCTCGGCTAAATACTTTAGGAAATGCAAGCTGTCAAGAAGTACAATAGCAGCAAGAAGTGCATTGCTGCGTTTCATAGGAACAGTAATAAGTAAAAGATGGCTTAGTTTACAGAACAGAGAATCCTCCAGGACCGTGAAATGAACAGGGGTGGCTAATCGGAAAACAAACTAGTCTCTCATTCAGAACAGCACCCTCCCACTCCAGAGAAAGCGGCAAGCAAAAAGTCTTGGGACATGGCCTTTGCATCATGGAGTTAGTCTGTAATGTACATCCTGGAGATTTCAAAACTGCTCAGCAATGGCCTCTCTCTGCTCCTATTGAACTCAATGATAAAACTCATGTTGACGTCAAGGGGAGTAGAGTATTGATTTCAATGGGAGCAGAGCCAGGCCAACGCGGAGCACTTTTGAAACTCCCACCCTATGGGTCTGCTGTCAATTGTTAACTGCAAAAGCATGTTATAACTCACCCGCTCTTCCTGCTGTGCTGCTATTATCCACCAACATCCCACTGAAATCACTGAAATGCTGATAACAGAGAGGAGATAAAATCTGGAATCCAAGCACCTTTGAATTTCCAGGAGAAAGGGGTGTGTTTGGATTTGCATCTCCACTCCTCTATGGTTTTTGGTTCCAAATCAGGGTCAATATTTGCAACTTCCAGTTTGGATGTGGAATCTTCTGATGGGGAACCATGGGCACTTTTAAATGCAAACCTCCAAAGACAAGCCTAAACCTAAGCTGGATTCAGATGTGAATCCCATCTCCTGGGCCCTTTTCTAGTTAATATTAGCATGTGCCTGTGTGATGGGTTGGATCACATAACCCCCCCTTGGGAGCTGCCACCCGATGTGCCAAGACTACTTCTGCCCCAGCTTTCCTGCCCTGTCAGCTTAGGACTTCAGTGCCCTGCCTGGTTTGAGCCAGACTCGCTAGCCTGCTGCAAACCCAGACCCAGATCTGAATCACGTCCCCTAACAGCTGCAGGCTTACCTGAAAGCAGCTTACAGAAGTGTTCTTGTCTTTAACACTCAGATGCCCAACTCCCAGTGGGGTCTAAACCCAAATATAAAGCTTATGCAGGGTAAACTCATAAATTGTTCGCCCTCTATAACACTGATAGAGAGATATGCACAGCTGTTTGCCCACCCAGGTATTAATACGTACTCTGAGTTAATTAATAAGTAAGAAGTGATTTTATTAAATACAGAAAGTAGGATTTGAGTGGTTCCAAATAGTAACAGACAAGACAAAGTAAGTCACCAAGCAAAATAAAATAAAACATGCAAATCTATGTCTAATCAGACTGAATACAGATAATCTCATCCTTAGAGATGCTTCAGTAAGTTTTTCCCTCAGACTGGACATCTTCCAGGCCTGGGCACAATTCTTTCCCCTGGTACAGCTCTTGTTCCAGCTCAGGTGGTAGCTAGGGGAATTCTTCATGATGGCTCCCTCTTTTTCCTGTTCCACCCCTTTATATATCTTTTGCATAAGGCAGGAATCCTTTGTCCCCCTGGGTTCCCATCCCTCCTCTCAATGGAAAAGCACCAGGTTAAAGATGGATTCCAGTTCATGTGACATGATCACATGTCACTGTAAGACCCGAAGCCTTCATTCCTCCCAGCCTGACTCACAGGAAGGCCTGCCTACAAATAGAGCCATCTACAGTCAATTGTCCTGGTTAATGGGAGCCATTAAGATTCCAAACCACCATTAATGGCCCACACTTTGCATAATTATAATAGGCCCTCAGAGTTATATTTCATATTTCTAGTTTCAGATACAATAATTAAAAATTATTATACAAAAATTACACAAATAGGATGACCACACTCAGTAGACAATAAGCTTTGTAATGATACCTTACAAGAGACCTTTTGCATGAAGCATATTCCAGTTACATTCTATTCACCCATTAGCATATTTTTATAAAATCATATAGACTGCACGACGTCACAGCCTGCTACACCTAAAGACCACAGAAGGTGCGTTCTACTATTCAAAATGTCCAAGGGTTTGTAATCAGAACACATGAGTCAGGAGAGCTCCCTCCACAGTAGGTGGTATAAAAGTCAAGAGGACTTTCATCTTTTAAAGAGGCAGTGGGGTCTAGTGTGGATTAAGCACAGGGCTGGGACTCAGGTATCACTGAGCTCTACCGACTCCACACAGCTCTGCCACTGACTCGCTGTGTGGCCTTTGGGAAAGTCATTTCATGTCTCTGCACCTTAGCTTCTCCTTCTTGAAAATGGAGATCATAATATTTAGTGACCTAACCCGATGGGGTAGAAGATATGGGCGATACTAATGTTTGTACAGTGCTTTGTAAATGGGCATTTTTGAGTATTATCTGCTGCCTCCTAGGTCACAACCTCAAGGCCATATGCCACCTTCTGCCTAAGCACAGAGTCCACTGACATCCCTGGGATTTCTCTATGTGCCTTGAGACCAGTATTAATTACGTGGCATCACATCGTAAGGGTGGCTTGTAGCCAATATTATTTACATAGCATAGAGAGTCTACAGGCTATAGGAGTGTTGTGCCAAAAACACAGAGAGAGAGATCTCAGTCTTGAATGGTTTCCAGTTTGGAGTTAGAACAATACAGGATAGAACAAGACAGGATAAGTATAAACACTGAAGGGAGCGGTAGGTTGTCACTGTAGCTGGAATGCTTCATGCAACAGTGAGGTCTGAGGAGACATTTTTTTTCTGTCTGGTCCTTACACTGTCTTTCTGATAATGTGACTACAAGACTTCTATCAGCTCCACAGCAGCACACTGCTAGCAACGTGCTGTGCCTTTCTAGAGATTTTTTTTTTTTTTAAATGAATTAGCCATACAGAATGGTGGCGTTCCTATGTTTATGCTTATTGAATCCACGCTTGCTGGGCGTGCAGCTTGCTGGGAATGCATTGACTCGGCACCTCCATAGTGAGGAAGGTAGCTATGAGCATGTCTGCACTGCATGTGTACACTTGGCTCAGTGTACAACCAGGGGCAGATTCTTAGGTATTTAAAGTGGTTGAGATTGAAGGCAGTCCTGTAGGGACTGGTAACCAAAAGTTTGTCGGATGTGGCAGGCTGAGCACCACGTTGTGCCACTAGGTAACTTTAGGAGGGACTTGCATCCTCATAGGACCTAGATGGAGTCAGCTACAGATGATTCTTCCTGGTCAAATATCTCTGCACAAGAGTAAAGCAAACAGGGAACATAGCACACATTTAATCCTATGGGCCCCACATGGAGCAGCATCTCGGTTTTCCTCTCCCTCCCTAAACTCTAGCCACCAACTTCCCATTCCCCCTCGATGGGGAGAGGGAAGGGGTTGAACAGAGACTGCTGACTCTGGGAGAAAGAGTCCTTGGCAATGGCACAACACTGGTAGCTCCACCTACCTTTCCACTGGCCTTGCGGAAGAGCTGGAACCTCAGGGCACTCGCATTCCTCACGGGTTCTCAGCTGGATATTTTGTGGCCATTTAATTCGTATAGGAGTTACTCTGGCTTCAAATAACATTACAGTCCTGGCCCTTTAATAATCCTGCAGCCCTGCAAGAGAGAAGTTAGAGGAACTCAACAAAATGCACCCTGTAGAGTAGGAAATCCCCCACAGAGCCAGTGGGAGTTTTAAAAGGCCACGATTGCACACAGTGCTTAGCCAGCAATGATAATCTGCCAGCACAGGACATGACCAGTCCCCCAGCCAGTTAAAACAGGTGCTCTCATCCACAGGAGCAACTGTGCCCACGCCACTGGTGCAGCTGTCCAGCCTGAGCCCCCTTGCCCAGCGCAGGCAGGATTGCTCTTGTAATGATAGGAGGCCATCATGTCTCCATTCCCCCACTTTCCCCCAGAAGGAACAGGATTGCTCCTTACAAAGGGGCCATGGTGCAAGATACTGCAGTTCAGTTCTTACAACTGCGGACTACTCAAGAAAGCGAAGGGGGAAGAGGAATGAGAGCAACTCCAGCTGCAGTGACACAAGCCTTGTGAGTCTGGGGCTGTAGCCATAGGAATTTGCCCTTAAGGTAGCTGTTAAGTGACTGTGCTCAGCTGGAGCGCGCTACTGTCTGGCTCCACTGTTCAAAACCCAGAGCATTTGTTTTCTTCCGATTTCCTCCTGCCAGTCAACTGGGGACTGAGGATTATTATTGTTTATATTGCAGTGGTGCCTGAAACATGCTGGGAAGACACAGAGGAAGACACGGACCCTGCCCTGAAGGGCCATGTGCAATCTAAAGACCAATCAGTGTATTATACAAGCTTCCACTTCTACAAACAAGCACTCCCTTCTATTCAGAGACCCATCTCAGGGGCTGTGAGAGGATCACACAGTCCATCTCAACTCGTGCCATGTAGCAGGATTGATTTCATCATCCTGAAGTGATGGCTGGAGGTTGGAACTGAATCCACGACTGCACAGCTTGTTCCAATTGCTATGACTCTTCTTGGAATTATAAAGTTTTCCCCGGATATTGATCCTAACCGTTTCCTGCTGCCGCCTAAGTCCATAACAGCTTTTTCTGTCCTCTTGCTACTGAAAACATTTGATCTGCAGCCTCTTTAGAATGTCCCACTATGTACAGTATTTGTAAACAGCTACCCTGTCTCCTCTCAGTCTGAACAAGCCTAGGGTTCCCGGTATTTCCTCATGGGCCAGAGCACTTTGGTGAGTCACCACTCGACTCTGGTTAATTTGTCTAGTTTTAGCCTAGTTAACACCAGTGAATGATAAACACAAGAGAAATCAATAAAAACACAAGGATCTCTCACCCTTAAATATATACAGTATGTTTAAGACATTAAATATCTGCATCAAAGCTCTTTACAATGAAGCCTCAGAATGTCAATATGAGGTAGGTATTATCACAGTTTTAGCTAAAAATGATGATAATAAAGTGAGGCAGAAAGGTTAAGTGACTTGCCTAAGATAACAGAGAGTCTGTGTCAGAGCTGGGAATAGAATCCATGAGCTATAACTCCAAGTCCTGTGCACTAACCATTTGGTAACACTCCCTCCATCAGTTATACACGTGTCTGTATAAATGTATTTAGTGCTGTTCCTCTGTTAGGGCCTACCCTGGAATCAACGCTATCCTGTATATATTCAAAGCTACATCACCACCTTGCAAATGAAATACTTAAGCGTGAGATTCAAAGGCCAGTGGCTCTCCCACAACTGGAAGAGGCTGTCTCTTTGTGGGATGACTGGCAAGACCAATTTTTTCTAGCATCATCCTCAAGGATTCACTAAAAGCACATGGCATATTTTTGTAAAAGATCGTGACCAAAACTTACAAAAGCACAAACTAATTTCTGGTGCTTCCAACCTGAGTGCCCAGACTGACACCTGAAAGGGGCCCTGATTTTCCATAAGCGTTGAGCATTCACCATTAGAAATCAGCAGGACCGGTGCAACCTATTAGGCGACCTAGGCGGTCACTTAGGGCACTAGGATTTGGGGGGGCGGCATTTTCTTCACCGCCGGCATTTAGGCGGAGGGAGCGGGGGCAGGGGGGCGCGGGGAGGGCTGCCTGCAGCAAGTAAAGGGGGGGAGGCAGCACGCAGGGAAACTCCCCGCCCCAGCTCACCTCTGCTCCGCCTCCTCCCCTGAGCACGCCACCCCGCTCTGCTTCTCTCCCTCCCAGGTTTGCGGCGCCAAACAGCTGATTGGCGGCGCAAGCCTGGGAGGCGGGAGAAGTGGAGCAGCGACGGTGTGCTTGGGGAGGAGGCGGAGCAGAGGTGAGCTGGGGTGGGGAACTGCCACTCGGCTCCCCGGGCGGGGGGGGGGGGGGCCGCGGGGGGGGTGCCTCAGGGCGGATGGGGGGAGGGGTGGGGAGCTGCCGCAGGGCTCGGGGAGGGGGTGGAGCAGAGATGAGCTGGGGTGGGGAGCTGCCACGTGGCTCCCCGGGCCGGGGGAGCTGCCGTGGGGGGGGGGCGGCGGGGGGGGGGGGGGGGGGGGGGAGGGGGGGGGGGGCGCAAGGTGCAAGTTTCACCTAGGGTGCGAAACATCCTTGCACCGGCCCTGGAAATCAGACCCCTTTACAGTGTCCCAAGTTGGGCCTCCAATATCACTAGCCACTTTTGAAAACCTTGGCTATCATTAGTGAGCAATTGAAAACGTGGGCTTGTATCTAGGGGTAAAGTAGCATTAAGCGGAGAGGTGTGAAAATATTTGCATTCAGACCCCAGCAATAGAGTGACTAGTCCAGGGATAATCACTTCAGTTTGAGAGGGGTTCTTTGGTGACATTGAGTCAATGTAGCTGTTACATCATTCACGTTCCCCGCTGCAGTAGCAGCAGGGAACAGGGGTTGTGGTTGGAGGAAAGGTGTGACCAGAATGCCCTTGTGCTACACCAATCCTTGCCTGTATTTTTGAACCTATGGATGCCGGGCAGCTCTAATCCAGTGTAGGGGTATACTGGCCCTGCACAGAGCAGCACCAACATCAGAAGGGAGCAAAGACGAGCAGCCTTTCCACACATCCACTCTGTGCACTTAAACCATAGCCTACAGCCATCTGTTTCTTCTGCTTACCCCCAGGCCCCTTGTCACCACCAGGAGTCCCCGCCCTCTGTGACATAACAGTGATGATTGTGATTTCACCAACAGAAAGGTGTGATTAGGGGCTGGGAATATGCAGGGGAGCCCTCAAAGAAACAAAGAGCTTGTTTGCTTGCAAATAGCCTTTAGCAATAAAATAATTTACCATGATTAAATATAAAAGATC